TGTATGTGTTTAACGCTTGAGTGGGAAGAAGTCCAACAATAGATGAAATTACATATTTAGGGGTATGAACATTAGTGACCTAGAGGAAAGAATAAAAACACAAAATTAATTATACTATACTGTTAATTATATCTCCACTCAATATGTACACAGAGTGGAACCTTGTTGAAATGAGCCTCTATATCATGAAGTCCTCCTAATAAACCGATGGTTTTCTTTACCCTAGTAATAGTAAGACATATGAAAAAGAACCTCTACATAATCAAACCTCACTATAGCGAACAAATTTAGCCAGTCCCTTAGCCCTTCATTATGAAAAGGTTCCAAGCTGTATAAGTACAGGTATAACCTTAAATAAAAATCTAAATATTCAGCACCATGGCCCAGCACCCTCTCCCACTCTTCCCTCATGCTAACCCCTTCCCTGAATCTCCCAATGCTAGGTGATTTAAATTTATTTCATAGAAGCCTATATTTGAAGGTGACTTAACTGTCAAATTATGCACACATGAATAAAAATATTGTAGCAATAGTACCTGCAGCCCACACTACTCATGGCTCAAGTACATGTACATCAATAAGCAAGTACGTTTGCACTTTGTAAATAAATAACGGTGGAAAAATAAATAAAAAAATAAGCAACAACAACTAGACGGTAAGAATTAGGGTTCTGTGGCTCTTACACATTAAGTTTCAAACAAAAACCATAATCAACAACTTCTCTGACTTTTTACAATATTTTTGCTAGTGTAGTATGATGTGATATGTGATAGTGATACTCGATATTACTACAAATCACATGAATGGAATACAGGAAAAGTAGTAATGTCTTACCGCAAAGAGTCCATTTTGCAATCCAAATGGTACAGGCGTGAGTCTTGTAAGGGCGATGACTTTAAATCCACGCTTCCCTTCGACTACACGCATAATAGCTTTTAGACTGTCGGATTCCAGTTTAGAGCGTACAAAATCTCGTAAATATCGCCTACAAACGATGAACGCACTCGACAGGCCACACGCTACAGAAACCACAACAATAAAGAATCCAAGCATAAATCCATACAAATAGCCAGCTGCTACGTTTAAAATGATGTAACCCCATGTCACGGGAAAAGAAACAACTGTGAACATGATTACAAACAGAAGGGCCCCGACCCACTCGTCCAAGTTCTGTAACCATTCCAGCACGTCTTTGATGTATCGACGACATAAAACTACTAAGATCACTCCAATAACAAGAAGTATGAGGGCTGAATAGGAGATTTGATAACATCGTGGTTGTCTTTTAATGACAACTTGGTCGAATTTCGTAGATTCGCCGAGACACTTTTGAGCTTGCGATTGAATTTGCTCAGTGCACTTTTGCCCGTACTTAAATACCATACCTAGACCTCTACGCTAGGGTCAATGGCGTGGATTTAAACTAAAATAGGATGATTTCATAAACGCCCAATTTGGCTGCATGGATGGATAAGGGCTGGATAAGGAAAATGTCAAAAAGCTGGTCAGCGGTTTTTTGTCAGATACTTGGTAGCCCGGAGCCCGCCTTGTAACAGCAAGCATTATTTAAATAGGGCCTTAACTTAATTAATTCTCTTTCCCTTCTTGATATTTTGCTCTTTATCAAAAATAAATGCCGTATGCCTTGTTTTCATTTTTAAACAGCGCTTTCCAGCTCCCATGGCAACATGGCTTACATGAAGGATATAGAGTAACATGACAGAATAACCGGCCTTTTTCTGCTTGGTAACCAAGCCGAATTCAGGAAAAAGTGTACAGCATGGCGCTTTATCAGAGTGAATTGATGCTCTCTTTTTAACTTGGCGAGCTGTATTTCACGGTCATATTCAGTCTTCTTTTCTCAGGTATGCTTCCAATGTTGTATAGAATAGAAAACCTCATAGATTTCCTCAAAAACAGTCTTACATAAAATTAAAGTTGGAGAACAAATTTTATTATTTTATTTTATTATTATTATTATTTTTATTAAAACTTGATTAATGAATAAGATTCACCTCAGTTAGATCTCTTTCTATTGGTAAGCATATTCGGAAATTTTTTGTCTCTAACCTCTAAGAGGGTCAATGTCCTGTGGAAAGTAATGAAAGATCTCGTACATCCTGTACAGCTGTAGATCTATACTAGAACCTCATTATTTTTCAAGTAGGATCAATGTACAATATTGAACCATTGATAAGAAACTTCCTGAAGGTTTAAGGCCTTTTTTGGTTGTACTAGCTCTGAGTAGACCATTTTACAGCTGGCGCTATCATTTATATAAGTGAATGTGAGGCTGGAGTTGACCTTGTCAGATAAACACCTCTTTCCTTTTTTGAAAATTACTAGTTAGCATAAGGAGAACATGATTTACATAATAAAGCAAGAAGGGTTAAATTCTAGCCTTGTTTTCACCAGTAGCTGTATAATGGGCTGTTGGTGTTGATCAAATACAATCAACGAAGTAAACTGCAATGTTGTGGTTCAATCCTTGGTTTAAATTTTATTTTCCTTTGTTTCAAACTCATTACCATACATTACCATACCCCAAAACAAAGGGAAATAAAGTATATTAACCAAGGATAAAATTGAACCACAACATATTCATCTTTTAGTCTCACATCTGTTCGTGTTATTTAAGTAATTGCCCTTGTAGGGTTCGCCGGAACCTGAAGTAGAGAAGTATCAAAGTATCTTTTTTTTCATCATATTGGTGATATGCAAAATCTTTTTTTTTTTTTTTAAAAGAAATAAAAAATATTAACCCAGGATAAAACTTAACCATCTCATTTTTTATCTTTAAATCCATATGTTTTTTTGTTAATTAAGAAAATTCCCTTTATGAGTTCGCCAGAAGCTAAATTATATAAGTCATAAATTATTTTTTTTTTTGTCATTTTGGTTAAATGCAAAAAATTTTTTTTTTTTTTTAAAAAAAAAATAGGTGCTCAAGGTAGTCCTGGTAATCCATGTTGTTGACTGGTCAGTAGTAAATTCCATCCTCCAGAACCACCTTTCCCTTTTTATTTTATCTCCTTCCCTTTTCATTTTACATATTTATGGTAACAAACCTAACAGTAAATGGGTCAACATTAACTTTTTTTAAAAAGTTGGTTGCCCTTTGGGCAACAAAGCCTCATGATCTAGTTGCCCGAAGAAGAATATTATTTGCCCAAAACATTCGGTACAAACAAATTAAATCAAGCTATATCCGCAAAACAGGTACCTTTTCATTAACTTTCCTTAATATTCATATTCAAAGTTAGCAGAGGATAAATGAGGATAATATTCTAAACAAAAAATTGTTCACATTTTATCTGATTGCTTTGAGTCTTATTCTCCTCTCATCAACGCCTGAATTGAAATAGTAATGACGACTCGAAGTAATCGAATGAAATTCAGGCCAATTTATGTGCCAAATCGAAATAGGTTTGAACTCACAAGGCTGCTGCCTAATGGGCACCCGGTTGCCAAAGACACCTATGATTTACCCTCGGGCGACTAAAATTTCAAACACGGAGCCCGAACGGTTGCCTAAAACTTATGATTCTCAGGCTAACTTCCAGTGAACAAACAACAAAATTCCCTGCTCATTCTGCACTTTTAATACGAAAACGAAAGACGTTTAGTTGTTGACCATAGGCAAAAAAAAATCTTTCCGCCAGCAAAAGGTAAACAAACAAGCCCTTGTCTTGAAATTTGCTTCAGTGAATTCTGCTGCAGTGCAGTTGAAGTTTCTCGCCTGAAAATGGTGTCAAATGAATTTAATAGTCTTCAAAAAACCTTCAACATTAAAATCAAAAGTTACAGTTACAGTCAAAGATATAGGGAAAGCAGAACAATAAAGTACTAAGTGTGGCATGTGGTGTATGGTGCGTTGTGCGTCATACTGGTAATTAAGTGATGCTTATAAAGGTCATGTCAAATAATCAAATTAGAGCAGTGTTTAGTAGAAATTTCTTTGAGTGTCTGCAAATTAACTAAGATTAGTTCATTTCTATAAGCCAGGGTAGACTTTTCTGTTTTACAAGTTATAAAGTATGTCTCAGTCCCACAAGCACAGATTTTATTTCTTGGTGACATTTGTATACAATTTATACTGCTTTACTTTGCACCATTTGATGGTACACTGTGTATTTCATGTTCTTATCTTTCAAGCTCCAAAGCTTGGTTCCATTCCATGCTTGTAACATTCGTTCTTGAATGAGCTTACCGGTATGTGGTTTCTGTGTCTAGTTGAAATGTTGTGCGACATTATAAGTCAGATAAATGTTTCCTTGGCAGTTAGTGTGGATATCTCTTTTTGATATTCTGTCCATGGGGCAGGCGTTGGGATTTCAGAAATTCCATTGAATAATAACATTATTATTATTTTTATTTACGTCTGTTTGCTTGTGTTTGTTCAATTCTGATTTGTTGTGATTAGATGTGATAGTTTTGTCATTGGACTTGCGACTATACCTTAATATTTTAATTATAGTGTTTTGGTTAAAGATTTTTTGGAGGGGATTGGATTTAGGGAAGTGCAAGTCAATCAGTGAAAGAAAGCATTTGTTAAATTGCAGTTGCCCGATCAGGCAACTTAAGGATCCTAAACTTAGTTGCCTGGATGCAATTCTTTGTTGTCCCAGAGACAAGTGGGCAGCCGTTAATGTTGATCCCTGCCTAACCATTAGCATTTAAAGTGACTACTTAGGATGCCTTCTATTATTTTGTCAGTACTGACTGGCCAGCCATTTCCATTGTAATGAGAATATCAATTTTAACCAAAACTATCCATTTGACCGGGTCAGTCAAATCCAAAATAAATTATCCACAAAGGAGATGGTTTTTCAGCAAAGCCTCTTGGAAAAAGCCTTTTTCATTGCCAAAATGTCTGGTCCAGCCATGGTCCGGCCAGCCAGTTCTGACTTTTGGAAAGCACCCTTAATACAAGATTAATGAAAGTGTTAACTTTTTGTTGATTATTTTCTGCAGTACTGTCTGTTTCTGGATATAAATACATGTGGGCCAGTCAATATGTGAGAAGTAGAACTGGGAGATTGTTATTAGAACGACTGCAAGTAGCTGAGGAGGAAAACCAAGACATAGATACAACATCAGTGAGTGCTGACTGTAATCACCCCACTGGTTTTCCAGTGGGGTGACTGAAAATATTTATTGTACAATTCATTCATTGTTGAAGGTGGCGCAGATATGCGCGAATTGTAAACAACGGTTTATGTGCATTTCACCCAGAATTTCAGATCAAAGTTCCACAGTACCCAGTGACTCACTGCATACTGATAACAACTGAAACAACTGAATAGTATGGAAATTTTAATTTACTTCATTTTCAATACGATTGAATGTAACAGATGAACATGACTGTCAAGACAAAAGATTGATCGGTCAACTCTCCTTCAGTCTGAACATTGTCCTTTGACCGGTCAATATTTCGAGCCCTGAACACTGCTTCAAAGGAAGCTGCATCTAGACTAAATAAAGATCAGATTTGCAAAATGTTGCTATTGCATGTACAGATAATTTCTTTTTGAAGGAAAATACCGGCTCACAAATCAAACCAGCCCTAATTAACCAAATTATTATACGTTGCTTGTGTTTTTTTTTTTTTTAGTGGTACAAGTGCATAAACTCTTCACTCTCAGAAGAATTACAAGCAAAGTTTGTAGAGAGCACCCTGGATAAAGAAACTGAAGCCTTCCTGGAGAACTGCCATCAAAAAGCTGATTCGGTGCTCTCACAAATTGGACATCTTTTTTTTAAAGGATTTTTTGGTTATTTCTTCTCTGTAACTACAGTCAATGGGTAAGCATTTTCTTATTATTAATAAATTTATTATTTATTATCTAGATTAACCTAGGAAATCCTTGTTATAGTTAAAGTATAATTTATTGTATTTTCAATCTCTATTAATTTTAGTTCTCTCACTCCAAAAAGGACCCTTCTGATAAATTTTCATTCTATGGTTCCAAACATATAGTTTACCCCAGCCAATATTTAGACTTACCCCAGTCTACAGTATATTGCTCATATCATAATAATTACTGTGAGGTACACATGTATGTGACACACAAGCAACATTACTGAGTCAACTTGATCAACATTCTTACATTCTGTTACTTGTAAAAGGCTTTGAATGCTTGTCCTCAAATTTATTCTGCAGTATTTTGCTGACATCATTACCTAGGGAATTATGGTAATTTTCTTGATCAATTGCACAAGAAATCCTGTCACAAAAAGAGTAACCATCTGCATGGCCAATCAGAAGTGGATACTTGCAGATATCAGTTGGCCCCCGTAGATAATCATTATCAAGGTTTTGAGTAACATGTCTTACTGCACTGTTGCAGGCTGAGTAGCCCAATAAAAATTGATTCTTGCCTCTCTGACGTGTATAATCAGGGATGTAGATAACAGCCAGGAGCCGGGGAAAATACCCAGACGTCAATGTGTTTTTTCCAGCTGAAAAACAATGCAGTCTTTTTTCATATTACCCACCCATCAAATGCCATTTCTCATCTGATCCCTGATAATATTGTTGGCTTGTTTTAAAATATTTAAGGCTTAGATAAAAAATTTATTAGTTGAAGCAAATTAATTTCCCACACGGCACGACGAATTTAAAGCACCACCCAGATTTGGATAGTGATGAGTTGTTTGTATGGAATTTCTGTGCTTGTTTCTCAGACGTCATTTTCCGGGGAAACTAGTAGTCTACAGGCTGAAGGAAAATAACATCATATTGATATATCCCTGGTTAAAAATGCTTTTTGACATCCATTTTAACTTAGCTTCCCTCTTAACAGGTGGGACCTCTTTTCCCTGGTATTCAACTGATGGGAGGAAAATAGACACCCATGGAATACCAGGGAAAAGAGGCTTTGTCCACAGGGAACAACTTACAATGTACATTCTTATAAGATGACAACATATTTTTTTCACCGCTTTGCACTTAAACAGAACCTTATTTATTGAAAACTTTTTTTATATCCATGTAGCATTTTGGATCGTGGATCGATGTTTGTGTTCTCCAATGCCCAGTTTCAAAACCTTATGGGTGTAGATGGAACATGGAAAGCTGCACGTCTGTTGGACTTGGGAGCTGGTGATGGCAAAGTAACAAGTGTTATGAAACAGCACTTTGATGACGTTTATGTTACAGAGCAATCTCCATCCATGAGATGGAGACTCAGCAGTCGAGGATTCAAGTAAGCTTGTCAAACTTCTTTCTTTTTCATATTCCTTTACTGAATTCTGCACTCAGGGAATGGTTTGGCGAAAAAGTCAAGCCAAACCTGCATTCAAGTGCCAAAGTAAGTGAAAGTTGGTATTTTTTGAAGCTGAGTTGCCCAAGTGGCAGATTCTGTGGTGGCGTGATAGGCACGAGAATTTTTTGGATTCTGGGGGCTTTAGTTTGATAGAAGCAACAATACTTGATTCCAGAAATATTTAAGACTTAATGTTGAAATGGTTACTACAATCATGATGTAATCATTTGACATTCTAGTGGTCAATTTCAAGATCAAAACTCCCCTAAGTTTCTCTTTCATAAGTAGTAATACTTTGTAGAAATTTAGTGCACATAAAATTGAAGGATTTGAATTCTCAAAAATGAAGAAAAAAATTATTTTTAATTAATGCCTGCAAAACAAGCTGAAGGGAATATACAATGCAAGATCAACAAAAATCATTCTTAGGTCAAAGAATTTGCCTGTGTTTACAGCTACTCCTCATCACTCCCTGCCTTGGGGACATTTTGTGAGAGAGTTGATTGTGTTTTGGTCCAAAAACATTCCATACTGATAATGTGTAATTAAAGACCCAAGCGTCTGTTTATGGAGAAGTGTCTGTGTAGTAGAGACAGGAACTATATGAAATTTGGTATTATTTTATTTTACCATCTGAAGAGAACTGTCTGTAAGAGAAAGGCGTCCATATTTTTAGCAGTGTGACTGTGTCTGTATTGTAGTTGCTAGTGGTAGATGTTTACCTCCCCACTTGATGGCTCAGTAAATCCCCACCACTAGTCACCTCCACTTCCGTGAATAATTGTTATTTATTTCTTAGCACTGTCTCGTTTTCTGTAGATTATTAGATGAAACTGAATGGGCAAATGTTGACTTCAAATTTGATGTTGTTGCCTGTCTTAACCTGTTGGATAGATGTGATAAGCCGCTAACACTTCTTGCTGACATCAAGCGCACTCTTCACCCAGTTACTGGTCGCCTGCTTGTGGCTGTCGTACTGCCCTTTAAACCTTGTGTTGAATCAGGTTGGTCCACATACAATGTTTAAATGTTGTGGTTCAATGTTATCCTTGGTTTAAATTTTATTTTGACCGTGAGCTGTACTTTGTTCACTTCACACAAACTTATGCCAGTATGATAATAGTTGATATCCGTCCTTTGACTGACAATTCCATGAACGAAAATGGAAGGGGCTCTTGGACCAAAGATCCATTCTTGATGCCTGGACAAAATTAATTTTACCTTCATGTACAAGAAAAAGCAGGCTAGATATCTGGATGGGTAGTCTAATATATAGTAAATCAGAAGGCACTTGTACCCTTCTTTCCAAGCATGCCTCCCCCAATAATAAATAGCGCATTAGTAAACTTTGCTCAAACCACAGTACAGCAAAAATCAGCAACAACATTAGTTAAGACACTTCACCCTAAAGGACCTCTGTGACGTTTTGCCAATGTGAAAGGGCGAAATAAAGCTCTCCATCCCCTACCCCCTCCTTGGAATGTTGTGCCACTGTTCCAGCTACCTGTAGAAAAAACACCCCAAACACCCCAATGGAGAATGGCGGGGAGGGGTGTGGATTTCTTGTTCTTCGAAGTTCCCCCAATTGAGGGCAATTTATCAACAATTTTGAGAGCATATCATTGAGATCACCTTTACATTAATTACAGGTACAAAGATCATAAAACCAAGTGAGATAATAACGGTAAATGGAAGCACATGGGAAGAGCAAGTCAACAGCCTGGTTAAAGACGTATTTGAACCGTGCGGCTTTACTGTTGAGCAGTTTACAAGAGTTCCTTATTTATGCGAGGGTGACCTGTATCAGGACTATTATATGCTAGATGATGCTCTCTTTGTTCTCAAGATTACTGCATAAGCAGAACTGAAATTCTTGCCATTGTACATTCTCTCTAAAAAAAGAACGGACCCTTCTGCATAGTTGCCATAGAACTGGAAATGCTAAAGTGGCAAATTTGTAAATTTAGATTTTGCTGAATTGTACCAGATGGCCATACACACTTGCATTTGTCTGTACTGTGATAATCTTATCCTCTCTCATTTTGATAAGGTAGAGTAGATACACTGTACCAAAAACCAATATTTCCTGTTTGATATTTTCCCAAAACTAGTATTCTTTCACATCTACTGTGATGGACGTTTAATAGACTTTTTATTTCTACAGCACCTAAATATCCTTAGGGGCGGGGATACTCCTTATAATTTCCTATACAGGGAGGCTCCACCTGAAAGGGGTACCTTTTGAGGTTTCAAGTAAAATAGGGAAAATCTGTCATTTTGGTCTGTAAAAAGGCCCAAAAGGGCTAACAGTTGCATTTTATGGCGTGAAAATGTCAAGAAAACATTCTGGTTTTGTGATTTATTCATATTTTAAAAACAGTGTATTTACAGCAGTTAAATGGAATGCAAAGTTCCAAACTAGGGATGTGAAAGGGGTACCATTTAAGCAATCGAAAACGTTTTCCTTGTTTTCATAGCCTGATATAAACGTGAGAGGGGTTGGGAGAATTCGACACAGTTATGTAAACCCGAGACGAAGTCAAGGGTTTGCATAACTGTCAAGAATTTTCCCAACTTCTGGAGTGTTTATATCAGGCTATGCAAATACAAGAAAAAAGTTTTCTATTGCTTTCATAATTTAACTTTCCCGAGAAAAATTGTAAAACTCTTTGTTATGGTTCTGATTAAAGGAAAAATTCTTAACAGTCGCTAAGTCGTGTACAGGAAAAAAAGATGCTTTCCAAAATATGCGTTTTTCTTGCTTAAAATATCAGTTTAAGCAAAAAAAGAATTGACACAGCATGTTTGTAAAGATTTTTCAAGTTTCAGCCAAGAAGGGAATGGATTATAAAGTAAACTTGTCGAGTTTTCAACTCAAAAACTTTTTCAATTTCGTGCTTGCATGATTAGCGCACGAAAAGCAAAGCATCTTGATGTCACAACCATGTTTACATACTCTAATGCAAACACACCTCTCAGCCAATCAGTGCATGTGTACTATCTTAGTTATTTAATAATTGTCAATGGGAGGTATATAAAAGGGGTATCTTTTCTCTCAAAAATAGGGCAGGGCCTCCCTGTAATAAAGTTTGTTAAGTACTCCCCTTCCAGCAGCTGAATGTACTAGGCAAAAAAGATTTTATTATCACAAATGTACACAACAAAGTATATAGTTAGATAAAAAATGAATAAATGATAACATTGACTGTTAAAAAAAGGAAAGTACATGTATTATTGCAGTTGTATTTTGAAATCAAATGATGCTATGTTGTCACTGCATTTTAATTACAAGGGCTTGTGCTTTGTTTAGTGTAACTCTAACAAAGGAAACATTTTTTCCTTTCAGTTTCATTTCACTGTCAATAACAACAACTCCACAACCAGAAATTCCATTCAGTGATCCCTCCCATCTCTCCTTACTGAAGTTAATCATTATGACAAATGTGTGATGTCTGTCTGACCTTGTATAGGCAAGAACTGAAGCATCTACATGAACAGCTTTAAAACTGAGTCCTTTAAAACATTCAACTGTGCTCCTTAGATTTACCAGTTCCTTGTACAGGTACAGTGCCGAGGTGGGATCTGCTTTCTGGACCTCAACATTTGCGGTTTTATAGTTCTCTGCCACTGGCACCCATGCTTTATCTGCAGATGTAAACCCAGCATTTTCCTTGTCACACCACTGCATCGGTGATCTTTGGGGGTCCCTAAAGTCTTTTTGGCTTTTAAAGGGAACTTTGGCATCAATCATTCCAATTTCCTCACCATAATAAGTAACAGCAGTTCCAGGTAGAGTAAGAAGAAGAACATTTAGTGCACGGGAATATTCATGGCTTACTTTGCTGCCTACCCTTGGAAAATCATGATTTCCCAGGAGCCAGTTTGGCCATTTACCTTTTGGAAGGGCAGCTAAGTAATCAGAGATCACATGATAAACTTCTTTTGCATTAGTAGTTTGACTTAGTCCCAACAAACCAAAATTGAAGGGGAAATCAAACTCATTCGAAAATCTCCCACCATAGTATTTGATAACTTCTTGGAAATTATCATCCAAGATCTCACCAATCAGAATTCTGTAGGAATCTTTGTATTGATCAAGTACTGATCTCCACCCCTGAACAATTTTGTGATTGGCTGTAAAATTTTTGGTGTAGACATGATCCAAGTCATCATACCGAGGACGCTTTGTGTCATACCCATCCTTAGTGGGTTCATCTTGAAATCTGGAATCTTCAACAAGGTGGGCGACAGCATCTGCTCTGAATCCATCCACACTTTGGTCAAGCCAAAATGTTAGAACATCATTGAGAGCATCCCGCACCTCTGCATTCCTGAGGTTCAGATCTGGTTGTTCAGGACAAAACTGATGTAAGTAGTATTGATTAGTTTTAGCATCATATGTCCATGCACTCCCTCCAAAGACACTGACCCAGTTATTAGGGGGTCCACCCCCAAGGGTGGGGTCAAGCCAGACATACCAATCACGTTTAGGATCGGCTTTACTAGAACGGCTTTCAATGAACCATGGATGTTGATCTGATGTGTGGTTTGGTACGAAGTCCAGTATTAGTTTCATGCCCCTTAAATGAGCTTCTTTTAGAAGCTCCTCTAAGTCTTGTAAATTTCCAAACATGGGATCAATGTCTTTGAAGTCCGAGATATCATAGCCGTTATCCACCATAGGAGACCTAAAAATCGGGCTTAGATAAAGGATCTTAATTCCTAAAAATTCAAAATAGTCGAGTCGCTTTGTTATCCCCTGTAGATCGCCATTTCCGTCGCCATTGGAGTCTTGAAATGATCGCGGATATATGTGATAGATCACACCCTCCTTCCACCATCTTTTTTTCTCTTCCCATTCTTTATTTTGCTTATAAACCTTCCTTGCAGTGAATGTCAGAACACTGAGTAAAATTGCCATTAAGAGAGTGCAGATGATAGAGCTAAAGTCGTCTGCAAAAATATCTGCAACCATCGTGTTGCGTTTACAGAAGTCGTGCAGGCGCAACAGAACGACGTACGTTGAGGACTGGGCTCTTGTATGCAAATGAGGGTTCCTTCCTGCCAACGAATCAGCAACGAATAAACAGTAAACACGGTTGGTCAATGAAGCTTTGCTTTTTGTAAAGTCAAATAACTTTGTGACTTAATTTGTGGGGTTATATCTAGTGAAGAACTCAAAGAAAATTCCAAAATATTGAAAACGAATTTGCGATGTCAGCGAAGTCTATAAGGAGAGCAAGTTATGAGGAGAGAGTTGAGCAAGATCAACGTCTCACCGGAAAACACATTCGAACTCTGTTACACTTGCAGGATGTGCACTCTGAAAACGATGTTTTGAAAGCTAGAATTGCGGAACTTGAGTTACAGCATGCAAAAGCCGCTAGATGCGATCTTTTGGAGCGTGAAGTTGAGAAATTACGGGTAAGTTTGGCGTATAAAGCTTGTACATCATTGGTTAGCCCAAAAAATTAAATTCGCAGTTGCAGAAGACAGTCACTCAGGTTTAATTTGGAACTATATGTTATGATTCTCGTGCTCAGGATAACGTAAGCTCACGGCTCATAGCCTTGTATCATCGTAAGCACATTGAATATGTCATAACTACATGTAGTTGTGATGATTTTACAGTCTTAAAGTGCCCAATGCCAGTGTCTAATATGTACCTAAGTACCGTTTGATCATGATAACATTTTCAAACAGCTGTTTTTATAACCGCTGTTATATTTGGTATGGCAATTGTGTGCAGTTGCCAAACCTTATGCTCCATCAGTTCATTGCCGCCGTAATGATCAGCAAGGCATACATCAGTGCCAGAAGAGATCAATACAACACTGTGAAGTGTGTACATGTAATTTGGCGCTAGACAGGAAGGAATGGAAAAAGCTGATGATGATGATGATTTAATTGGCAAACACATGACTGTCCATATAAAATGGCCACTGTTGATGTTTGCTGCTGACACCCCAAAAAGCTTACAAGAAAACAATAACCTTCGAGTAAGTGTATAGTGTTTGTTATCCAAGAGTATTATAGATGCCAAGATTTGCTTGATGCAATTCAGAGACCTAATTGGGGCAACGTTTGATACAATTGAGGCTGATTTAGATGGTACAATATTGCTTTGTAAGACTATTGCATGCGATTAGTATACACGCAATGACTTTATGACAGATCATGTCGTGTAAATTAGACCCACGACATCTGTATGACAGATGTCTACAAATCGAAAAATGTGGTAACAATTGAAATTTGTTTGAAAATCGCACAGCAATCATAGCCAGGGACAATGATGGATGGTAGAAAGTCATGTTGTAAACGTAGTGGCTTGCGATGGTCATAATAAAAGCAAAAATCGTAATGACTAAATCATGCAGCCTTCGGAATCCCTGTGGGTACTGAATTTTACCAACAACCACCAACAAAACTCTTTTCTCAAGGGCTAGTTACAACTGCAATGACTGGTGACTAGTCATGTTTAAATTATGAATTTCCATCAGATTATCTCATCAATAAGAAATTTACAGAATTTTATCCAAAAAAGTCTAGTGGCTTAAGACTTTCTAAACAAACTGAAAATTGGTTTGCTTTTCAAATGAGTTTTACTTATTTTGTTTATGAAGAGATTAAAACTGGCTTAGAAGTCTGCCAACAAATTGATTCATCCTGTATTGATTAGAGAGAGCTTTTAATAAGACAAAATGAACTGAGAAAGTGGCAGTGTTTTTATTGTTCCCTGTTGATAAGCATTTTTTATTGATTTTTACAAGTAGGCCATAATTTTTCATTCAAGCTATAAAGTTTAACTGTAATTAGTTAGTTTTCTAAGACCTGTGTGACTTATAGGTGCATTGTACATGTACACTGTAGTACCATTTTAATGTAATTAATATGTAGTCAGTCATAATCAGTTATACAGCTGGTTGCCATATTTCCACATAAAACTGTTACAAAATGTAGATTAATTGTGATCTTTTCTTAGCTAATTATCTCAGATTAAAGCTTTAAAGTCAAGCAGCTCAGGGCTGTGCTCTAGCAAAGTCGCTGCGGAGGCCCCTGTCACTTTTGTTGGTGTAGTGCAGTTGTTTTTTATCACGTCTCGTCAGAACATTATTAAAATATTGTTAATCTCGGCAAGCATGAGTCATTGTAAAATATGACTTTGAAGATTATCCCTGGGTTAAGTGATTCTAAGAGATAATCTGATTGTTTGAAGAAACGTATGCACCTTACACCGTAAAAAAGTCGTAAAGTTCGATCAGGTGACTGGTGTATACAGTGTAACATGGTAAGACTTAATTTCAAAAACCTAATTTAGTTCAGAAAACAATTATTTATAATGATTAATTTGTTACTGTGTTGCAAGTGGAACCTGGTGTTTTTATAAAAAGTTGTTTTTTTTCTAGCAGCAGCTCCTGTAGTCAAGCATGTCCATCTACAGTATTAAGCTCAAAGCATTAAGTGTCTCAAAGGTTGTCTTCTTCTCTGGCAAAGAGATAGAGACAATTATTGTACAATGGAAAAATAAACCTTTCTCAGAGCTATAAGTTCAATAACTATTAAAGATTAAGTTTGAGATATATAGTTCAAACAGTATTGTGGAACTCATGTGCTTCTTAGAATTCTGTGATTTTGTAAATGTCTAGTTGCACCAAGATTATCATTTTCTCTTATCAAGGTGAATTCTCAGTACAGTACACTCTGACATCAGGAGTATACTTCTGGTCATGGTTAATTTTAGCATTAAAGAGCCATTTTACAAATAATAGTTAATGTAATAAGACTGAGTGGAGTCGAATTCAGTCTGTTGTGATAAACAAGTCATGAACAAAACAAATTATAAACAAAACCAGACATGCGCGTAGCAGAAGTCTGATTTGTTTAATCACATGTATGATTACAGACCGAATTGGATGACATGAAGTTCTGTTACCAATATCATAGCAAAATTTGTGATATTTTAGGCTTTTCTAAATCAAAACACGGAAAATTTTTGCAAGTATTGGCAAAGAAGCCATTTAAGCGCTCACTTTGTGAAGTGTACTGTCCTATACAAAGTCCTATTGGTGCCGAAATCAGACCAGCTCGATAGCGAATCATACATGTATTAGACAATTTGTATAGTTATGATTAGTGTATAAATAACAACCATGAAATTATCTCTACTTGTAATGACTTAATTAAATGTATTTTAAAACGCTATATTTAACTAAATTACTATATTAAATTTATTTTTTTATTATTCTTAGAATGATTTGTCAAAGTGTGAGGAGCTGCATCAGATTGCAAAGGATTCCAAGGAAAAAGTTCAGCAAATGCAACGTGACTGTTTGGTTAAGATTGATGAAACCTGTGCTGCTTTAACAGAGAAACACAAAGCAGAGGTAGGTCTGCTCAAATTTTTTTTGCAATATTATTTTTAATTTGTTCAATAATTGTTCCTGAGAGTAAAAGGGCTGAGTGGGTGAGGCAAATACATTAATCATAGGTTCGATCGTCCAGCTGAAAAAAAAAAGCTTAACGGTGTAGAATTAGACTCAAAGAAAACCATTTGCTGCGCCAGAAATTTCTTGGGTTATGATCATGACTGATAATGGAATGTTCCATCATCTTTGTAATGGTTTGTCATTTTTATCCCCTTAACCTCAGGAGGTCAACTTTCGAACAAGTGACCAAAATTCAAAAGGAATGGAAATAAAACAAAACACAGTTGTACTGGGTCATAAAATATAAACTTTATTCCCTTGTTTGAAAAAATTTAAGATCTACAATCAATTTAATGCCACCCTTTGCCATTTTAAGTAAATAATTTTCTACTATTTGAGAAATTTTTTCTGGGGTGACTCAACTGAGTAATCTTTACTCATGAGCAGGTTACCACAAACTGAGAAAAAGCCTACCAATCAGTCAGGCGACTCTCTTAGTTGTTTTACAATTTTTTTTTTCTGAAATGTGGCTTGCTATGATCTTGATGTAGCAAAAATCACTTGTACATGTAGTTTTCTACTTCTATGAGAACCAAAGTTTACAAATTAAAAGCTGCCTCTAATGTGAGCCATACAATACATGAAATACACTTAGTTCTACTCCTACAATAACAATGGTGTTTTTTAAGCTGCGTGTACACTTAGTTTATTCGAGTCTTACAACAAAATGAATGTTAAAGAATAATGAGATTTAGGTGGTTCTTTGGTTGAATTATCTTTACCCTTCTACTTTTAGATATAGTTTGACATCTTTGACTTGTTAAAATAGCTGAAATTTCTACTATCCCCTTTGCAAGTAATCTTTACCCTTGCATTAACCTGTGGGTAAAGTTTTCAAAATAGCTTTCTAAGTGCAAACCCCACACTTAGTGAACTTGTTTTGCTGTTGTGGAATATTGTGTTACAACATCAACATTAGAGCTGATTTAGAAACAAGAGTGATTGGACTGTGAGGAATATCCAATTTTTTTCTTTTAATTACAAAGTAAAAGTCAGCAGTCTGATGAAAAAATGAACTTTTCTTCCTTGTAGATCATGAGAGTTGTGTCTGAAAAACTTGAATCTGAAAACAGCTGGGTCCTGGAAAAACAGCAGGTAGTGTATGCTGTATGTCAATATAGGGAGCTTTTGCAACAGCGTTTTTGAGCGACGGACGTCAACCGGAAGTGGACTTTTTGCATCATTGAGTAGTGGTTTGGTTGAAACTATCGGGTAAATTGTCTTTATAAGAGAAAAGAAAGTTAACAATACAAATTTGTTAATGCCAAGGCATGTAAAAGGGGAGAAGGCCTCATTAGTGAGCTTAAGCAAAGGCGTTTTTGAACCACGGACGTCAACCGGAAGTGAGGACTTTTCCCTCTTAATATGCCTTGATGATATAAAATTTGTATTGCTCAGCTTCTTTACTATTATAGTGACGATTTGACTGAAAATTTGGGCAAAACAATCGTCCAAAAATAAAAAAGGGCCACTTCCGGTTGACGTACGC